TAAGTACATAAGCTTTCTCTAACTGTGCACTATGGTGTCATTATCAACATGCCCTCTATGCAGATTGACTTTGATACTTTCTTTTCTTCCTTTTGTCATTACATTCCTTTGATGTAGTCCTTACCTGGGTATTATATCCACCTAGAAAGGAGTCTTTGAAAAATTCAGCATCACATATCTTAAAAGTAGGTCTCAGACAATCAGAAAGTCAGCAGTCCATGGGAAAGAGACAGAGGAATCAATGTCTGTAAATAACACACACCTGTATGCCAATAGCCACTAAGGGTGAGTGATCACTTGAAAAGAAATCTACCTCATACACAGCCATCTCACAGTATATTACAATGCAGTGAAAAACTGAAAGACAGATGGGAACTCTGTACACTTTTTGGAAGTGCAAAGAGTTCCTGGAACCTGGACATGAGTCATTCGCCAAGGTTCCTGTCACTCAAGTGCAGACAGATCACCTCAGTGAAGTCCCCTCCCTCAGCTCAAGCTCTGCATAGCTCCTGAGATGATTCACATTCTTGAAGTCTCTCTTGTCTTCTCGCCAAATGCCAGTCTCTCTTGAGGCAGGTGGTAATGGTTGTGTCTTGTGTGGTATGGTGTGTGTGTGTGTGTGTGTCTGTATGTGTGTGTTTGTGTGTCTGTGTGTAAGAAGGAGGCAAAAGTTTATTCATATAAGTTTGAAACTCTGAAGGGAACTACCAAGGAGACTGGTAATGTGTATTTACCATGGTTTTGGCAAAATAAAATAAAAAAGGCAACTTGGCAGAATATCATCGGAGTCGAACACACTTTCAGCTGTTTGAATGGGAAATTTTCTACTTTGTGCTTCCTGCCAGTCCTTTATTTGAATACATTCACTTACTCTTCTGGCAATAGAACAGTTCCATCTAGTTCTCTGGTGCAGAGTAAATGAATGAATTCATCAGGTGGGTGATATTTTTCACCCACTTGTTTCACCTTTAAGAACATTCTATACCAAGTGAAATAAGACATGAACACAATGGTACAAAGAATCAAGACCATTCCATAATTGGCTGTAATTGAGCCATGTTTTCTCTTTGGAAAACATAAGTGGTTCTTACTTCCAATTCCCAAGGACTTTGTCTTTCCTTGGCATGGCACTTGTGAAAAGGCCTTCTGGGTAGTGCCATGTTGAATTGTAACACCCACCATGATGTACTCCAGGACTTCTATGTATGGTACGTGACCCTGCCTATTATGTTTGCATCAGATAATGAAAACTAAGGCAAGAAATAATGACTCAGCTCTAGATAACTGGGCAATACTTATATGTGTCCATACAAACACTTGAGTGTTGAACACTGACAACGGAAACCATTATTAATGGACTGGAAGGGATTTTGCATTTGATCACATCTCAGTAAATGTGTTTCAGTTGTGTTCTAATAACTTAAAATGAAAAGAATTCATGTAGCCACTTAATATTTACAGTGGGGTTCTGGATTTCAAAACAATGGCTGTGCGAAACAGGTGCTCTTGTGCATTCTGCCATGAAGAGTGTTTTAAAATCTCACTCAGCCATATACAATTCCATGACTTAAGCTAAATCCCATCCCCCACTTTGTTTCTTAAGCATGAAGGTATTCTTGATAGCTCTCTGGCCAACTCCACAATCCTCTCTACATAAGAAGAGCTGATCCTTTTAAATTGCTTTAGTTTACTTCAAAACACTGATGGGGGAGGCACATTTGTTGTGTGGTAGCACAAGATGTAAATGAGAAGCTGGGAGATGACTGAGAAACTGGCCTTGCCTCTGAAGAACTCAGTCTAGTCAGAGGTTAGAAAAAATGTGTATATCATATGCTGTAAGGGAAAATAACGTTGGAAAAAGAAGTTCAATTCTGTGAGCTTTTCCTGAATCTTCCCCATGGCTCATGACATGCCTTTGCCAGGCTCTGCCCTCTAAGTGAACTCCTCGAAGGCTATAGCTGTTTATCTTTGAAGATCAGTGTCAAGTTCAATGTTTGAGTGATACAGTAGCTGCTGGTATCTATTAATTTGGACTGGGAAGATTGAATCCAAGGAAAACTTAATAGAACTGCTTCTGTGGGACTCTCCCAGTAAGAACCACCAAGCATTATGATCGCCAGATACTTTAGAACACACTTCTCACCTCGTGCCTCCCCAGTTATTTGATGAAACTGCTTGGCTTTCCTCACAGAATGTAATGTATTTATACCAACAAGAACTTAGAAGCTGTCCTTTGGCCATCCCCAAGCTACTACATTCACGGTCTGTTTCCTTCCTGAGCCAATTATTCTTACAGGCATTAACTGTTGTCAACAAATTTTATTGAATTTCCTTTTCATCCCCTAAGATTTACTGAGTGAGGGGAAGTCAGCACTAAGCAGTTACAGTCCTCCAAGTACCTTTTAAAGGAGAGTACCCTTCACATTTCTGTCCCCCCAGTTGACATTTACTAGATTTTGCAAAGTTTTATTTACAAAGTTTTATTGAGCCCATACCTTTTTACTTTAAGCTGGTTCAACTCCACTTTGAAAGTACATATTTCTTTCAATTGTGGAAGGCAGGGTCTGATCTTGGTTTGATATTTAAACATCATAAAGAAATTTGCCTCTATATTTATTTACTTATTTATTTATTTATTTATTTACAAGACAAATTATTTAACAAGGAGGGGTTTTGAATCCTACTAGAATTATTCGGAGTAAGTCTTTTGTTTGTTTGTTTTGTTAATTCTTGCTTTGAGTAGGTTGACCCAGTTTTGCAAAGGAGCTCACAACACCCTTCTAGCCCAAGTTCTGTGGAAGCACAACAGACACAACATCCTGGATGATCTGTTGTGAATACATCTCCAGCATAAGTAAAGCAGTTGATCCAAAATTAATGTGGCTTCCCCAGACACTTTAAAAAATGAAGGATCCAATGAAGACCTAATTATGGATTCTTCTGCATGTACCATAGAGAGAGAACATATCAATCAAACTATGCTCTTTTGGTTCTGTGAGGAGGGCAGTGGCATTGTAGAGCTGAAAGCATACTAGCAAAGAGCTCCGGATTAACTGATTTGTTGGAACCCACACAGAGGACAGCCATCCCATTATAACTTTGTTCTGTCTGAAGCAAGCCAGTGGGTAAAACAAAGTGAAAGAAGTTATGCTTGCCATAGGTATAATTTTGAACAGCTATGGCGAGAAACCATTTTTAACATGCTGTTTGGGAACTTCTGGAATTTTTCTCCTTTGAGGTATTTAAGAAGTTGACAGACAACCAACCATCTCAAATGGTTTCAATTAAGAATAACCAGAAGAAAGAGAAGTTCTGGGGTCCTTTTCAGTTTTAAGAGTCTATAAACAGTCCCTTAAATAAACTGTATATGCTTTACCTCGGGCAGTCTGGGGGAAAAGAGAAGTAAATCAATTAGAAAAGAAAGTTGGATACCCTTACAGCTACCCCAGATTTATGGCTTTTGTAAAACATCCCTCCAATGCATGCTTATTAGGAACAGATCTGAATAAACGAACGACATTCTTCATGTGTTAAAGCATACTGTTTTTAAAGAGTTTAAGTGAAACTTTGCAATTAGCTTTCATTGTTATTGATTGCACAAACCTTCTGAGGCTTTGGTTATTATTATAAACTCGGACTTCTTCCTTTGATATGCAGAGCTTAGAAAACTACCTCCAGACCTGTCAATCATTGTTTATATGATTTTGGCAGGCATTTGAACTTCCTGGGCTGAAATGTCCTTGTCTATAAAACAAGGGGATTTTGTTAAAGCAAATGACCTTTAACTTTAACAGACTTGACATCTAGGTTGCAAGCAACAAGCATTCATGCTATTGGAGAAGGGAGAACCCTGGATTTAACTAGTGCCTGAGGAACATTTAACTTCTTTTATCTTCTTGACATCATTTCAGTTGGTCCCCAAAGGAAGCCAATCTGTTCACTTCAAGAAATAAAAGCCAGCTGCTTTGCTTTATTTCATTTTGAGCTTTAGGTCTCCAAAGACAGAACAGAAATTCAGACATGACCTCAAAGTCCCAGGTCATAAACCTAAGGTTGTCATTTCTCCTTGTTATCAAGGACGATCTGATAATGCTCATCTTTCAAACACTTTCACCCTGCTTTGTCTTTCGAGAGCAATGAGCAAATCTGTTCATTATCTCAGAAGAGAACGCTATGAATCCACCCCAAGCCTTTGGGCATCCTATTAGATACAGCTTGTCTAGTGAAAGGAGGACAGCATAGTTTAAAAGACACACACACACCTTCTGCTAGCTTTGGGCCAGTGTGTATTTTGAGCTCCGTTCATATGCATTTCCTTGCATAGCACCCCTATGGGGATTCCAGGCATGCATTTGTGTGAGTTCTGATCCAAGTTAGGAGCATGGTCACTGCCTAT